GAAACAAAAGCTATCCGACCAGTCAAAAGGTCCGAGATTGACCCTGAAGCCGAATTGGTGCCGGGGAAATTGGTCTGTGTGATCAAGGCTGGAGGGAGATACAAATGTCGCGCTGTGATCTGCGGCAACTTGGCATCACCGGAAGCGGATCCCATGCCTTCCTCTCTGCTGTATGCCAGTGGAGCGGACGGGGTTCTGATAAGGTGTGCATTGCGAAAGGCAGCTCATCACCAATGGGATATAGCCACGACGGACATCAAGACCGCTTTTCTACTGGCTCCTCGGCCGGTGGAACAAGGTGCCAAAACCGTGGCGGTGGTGCCGCCCAGGATCATGACTGATTTTGGGATTACCCAACCGGATGAGGTCTGGCTTGTCGACAAGGCCCTGTATGGGTTTCAATCCAGTCCTGCCCATTGGGCAGTGTACCGCGACCAAACAATGCGGCGGTTCACATGGCAGGGAGATGCAAGCCCGGGGGAGATGCAGAAGGAGTACAAGCTGGAACAAACGCCGGAAGGAAATTTGTGGAGAATCCTGTGTAAAGGTGGTGACGCTCCGGGAGAAGAAGTACGTCCTGATGGATATCGGCAAGTGGGTTTGGTGGTCGTCTATGTGGACGATCTTATGGTTCTTGCGGAACCTCACGCCAAACACAGCTTCTTGAAGAGGCTGAAGGAAGAATGGACTTGCTCCACTCCTGAAGAAGTTGATCACAAAGGCTGGGTTCGATTTTGTGGGTTCGAGCTCCAATGGAGCGGTCAAGGGGATCACAAGAAGTTGAAGGTGGGACAGCAGTCCTACACTCGGGATCTGTTGAATCGACATCAAGTAGAACACCCAAGACCGGTTCCGATGACGAAAGCGGATGCCGAACTTCCGGAAGAAGAACAACCAGCACTTGAAAACATCCGACAAGCTCAAACGGTGGTGGGCGAGTTGTTGTGGTTGTCCATAAGGACAAGGCCGGATATCAGTTTCGCCGTCAGCCAATTGGGAAGGCAGGTGAACAAACGGCCCAAATGGGTGGTGAAAACCGCACAACAGGTGTTTGGTTACCTGAAGGGAACCGAAACTCAACATCTCAGCTATGGGGTTTGCACAAGTGATGATCGTGGTCCCGAAGATGACCTGCCATTTCACCGGGAGATGCAGCAAGTCGAAATGTTCTCGGACATTTCATTTGCCCCTGCGGGCGAAAGATCACTGCAGGGTATCCTAGGTTTTTATGGTGGAGGGTTGGTTCAATGGGAAGCCAGCCGTCAAGCTTTTGTGGTGTTGAGCACCGCCGAAGGGGAACTGATGTCCTACTTGGAATCCATGGTCATGGGAGACTCTCTGGCGTCTCTCATAGAGGTTGTGGAAGGACGGAAAATCGGGCAGAAGATCATCTACGGAGACAACACGGCTGCAATAGCCATCTTGGAAAATCCTGACGGTCCGTGGAGGACTCGGCACTTGCGGTTGCGAGCAACAGCCCTAAGGGAAAGGTTAAAGGATGGTAGTTGGATCATCCGTCACCTTCCAGGGGTAAAACTTGTGGCCGATTTCCTGACGAAGATCATCGCTGTGAAGCCCAGTTGGGAAAGGTTCTGGAGGTTCGTCAATCACCAAGGTTCCGGGGTTCCAAATGAGGAAACATCAATGGGGTCCAACCATCGTGAAGAACAACCTCTGGGAGAAGAACAACGTCCAGAAGAACCAGACCAGGAGACTTCCTCCTGGGACAACTACCGAGATATCGCTGGTCGGTGCGTATCAGTGGTGAAAAAGGTGGTTGGTCTGGCCGAGGAATATCCAGAACTAGCCGATTTCCGGCATGAAGCCCTGAGCACTGCCATTGGAAGGCTGGTGCGAGTACTGGCTGATGCGTATCGCGTCACTGAATCCGTGGTCAAGGATCGGTTCCAGTTGGAGTCGGTCTTACCGTTTTTGGAGAAGAAGAACATTCCTGGACAAGTTGAACACCCTGTAGAAGAAGAACCTAGGGGTATTCTAAAACGGGGTACTAGGTCCAAAAGGGGTAACCCAAAACCTAAACGGGTTTATTTTTGGGATGAAAATCCACCAGTTTTGAAAGTTTTGCGGGTACAAGATCATCACGGTCATGTTGCCCAATTGCACAGTTATGAAAAAGAAGAACCCATCCCTAAGACCATCCTGGGTGATGGACAAGAGAAACCTTGGGACTTGGATTGTGCCAGGTCCGATCGAGAAGAACATCGAGCTGCTGAAGTTGTACCAAGGTCGGGTTCCACAGAACCGTGGGATCTGGTTGCAACTTGGGGAATTGGGTTTTTGGGGAATTCTAATGTGGTAGGTAAGGGGAAAAACCATCCTGAAACCTCAAAGGGGATAGCTCCGCAACCAACGGGATTTAAGTGTTTTTCCGTTAGGGAATTGGGGTTGTCCGCAGCAATTTATTTTTCCAAAAGTTTTGGGCTCAAAAGCGTCCTCGTCTGCCTTGCTGCACCAGTGACAGCTATGGACGGTGAAGATGTTTCGCAAGGCGTCTTTGGTCAGTTTTTTGGCATACTCTATGCCATGATGGTCATCCTGGTGTGGGAAGTTTTCCGATGGCTTATGAGCCATTTGATCCTGGTGGTTCCTCAGTTCAATCGACAAATGGTGGAACAAGCTGAACTGATGGTGAAGTTGGCCCTGAAAGATCGAGAAAAAGATGTACGTGGGGGAGAAGGTCATTCCACGGCGGCGCCAACTGTAGAAAAAGATGAACATCAGGAAGAAGAACCACGTCCGGGAGAAGATCATAGAAAGGAAAAAAGAAGAAAAACCGAAGAGAGGGATGCTGATCGCGCCCATGACAAAAGGGAAAGAGGAAGAGACTGTCGGAGACGGGGTGAAACAGGGCGATCTAGGTCGCCACACAGGGAAAAGGAATCGACAACAAGGCGATCGGAGAGTGAAAAAAGCCCTGGCCCTTCTACAGCCGAATCGCGAGGTTCGGAAAGGGTCCCAAAGGGACCGATAGCTCCGCTGCCAGAGGGTATGAAAGCCCCTGGGAGACCGCCACCGAAAAAACCGTCGATGCCAACTCCCAAGGAAGAGGAAAAAGTACCCACCGATGATGAAGAGTGGGGAAAATGGAAGGAACAGAGAGAAGGAGAAAAAATGGCTGATTACCTTGCAAGGATGAGATCAGTCTATGGAAAGGCAATACCTGCAGAGCCAAAGGAAAAACCTGCAGAAACGACCCGAGCCTCCTCCTCTAAGACAGCTCCTAAGGCAGCGGCTTACTATGAAGTGGATGGAGGAGAATGGTATTGGTGGGATGGTGCATGGGGTGACAAATGGGAACCGAAAAAGAAAAAGAAGAAGAAGAAGAACAAATACACCGAGGCTGAATGGGAACAGTGGTACAAGGAGCATCCGGAGGAGGACACTGAGTCTTCCCAGACACCAAGAAGGCCAGCAGAACCGGAGACTCCGCCACCGGCCCAAAGACCAAGGATTCGTCCGGGACAAGATTTAATTCGACGTCCTGAAGACCCAGCCAGCTGGACAGTTTACATGCCTGAGGTGGTCATGCGTGAGGTGGAATATATCATCTCTGGAGAGGGCACAGCATGGATGACAAAGCCGCCGGCCGTAACAGGCTTTGAAGAACAGGGTCAGGCCATTGACATGTGGCATGTTCCAGCCCCTGGGGACTATGGACGAATCATCACAAGAATCCATTACAAATGGAGACAGAATTCATTTCATCCAGATCACCCCACTTTACCGAAAAAGGTCGACCAGTTGGATCCTTACCGGGTCACATTTTTGTGGAATACCCTGGACAGCAACGAGCGAAAAATAATCTTGGATTTTGACTGGGAGACCAAGTGGGTCGAAGACAAGTGGGTGGGATACACCGTTTTCCTTGTCAAACAAGACCCAAGAGATGTGGCGAAAAGCTCACCCAAAAGGAAATAGGTCACACGGAAAAGTACATCGGTGGCTGGAGAAAAAGATCAACAAGACCCAAGGAAAAGATCATTAGCTGCCGGTGGAAAAGACCAATACAGGGAAAAGCTCATCAGCTGCTGGACCCAAAGAACACCGTTGGGCGCTCTTCGAGGACAGCGCTGGTGAGAGAGGGAATTCAAAACCTACGAAGTTAGGGCTGTAGTTTTTCAATTTTTGGAGTCAACCCGAAGTGGAACTCCACGCGACCCTTGGATGAAGGGGGAACCAACACCAGCCTGGGACTATGGCACACGAGGGTCTTCGCCCTTCTGGCTGGGGGAAGGGCGAGTTCCCAGAGGAAACGTGGCCACCCCTGAAGCTTTTGTTTTTGGTGTTGGGGAACCTGGATTCCTGCAAGCAGGAAGGGGGAGTGCGGTTTGGGAAACATGCACAGAGTACCACTGCACCCCCACTAAGGTCTTTTTAAAGTTTTGACAGTCGTTGAGACGTCCTCCGACTGTTGCAACTTGGCTCAAGGGCCAATCAACTGACTGGCTCAATTTACCGAGCCCAACTTGGAGTGAAAAGGTGCACTTGCATCTGCCTCTAGGTGGGGACCTCCGGGAAGGGTCTCGGTCATAGTCTGAAACCCGTGGTCTCAAACAGCGTTGAGGCATCCGTTTGGAAAACCATGGAAGCCAGTTGGAAATTGGTCGCCATGTCAATTAGATGCACAAACTGAAACACTTTCCCTTTTCGGGAGGTCCATGAGATTAAATCACAGCCAACACAATCATTGAATTCTCGGGGCTCCGACAAGGACGCAGGTCGAGAAATTCTCGGAGCTTGTGTCTCTACGCAAGTGCTACATTTGAAGTCTCCGACACCCTGGACAATCTCATCAGCAAACCCTTGTTGTTGTAAAACATTTTGAAGTTTATTTGTACTTGGATGTCCCAGGTTATGGTGAATCTTTGAAAGCCATTGGCGGGTTTTGATGGGAAGTGAGAGAAATCGTGGACCATGTTGTATTACTGATTGCTGGAGTTGATCAAGTGTGCTGGAATGTGGTTTGACATCGTCTTCACCTTGACTGTCAGTGGGCAAGACTTCTGATTGCACTTCTGGCTGTGGGTCATACTCATCTTTTGTGAGGTGCTCCAGTTGATCGCCTTCGGAAGACAAACGTGGTTTCTTGGTAGGTAATACTGACACACTTGAGGAGACTTCCCTCTTTGCATTGGCATTGGGTCTGGCAAATACCGTGATCATCAGTCTGGCAGCTGGGGCTTTGGCACATGTCCTTCGGACACTGAGGTGTTCCCAAGGTTGCCATGTACCTGTGTTGAATGGCTCAAGGCCCTGTCTTAAGAGCCCAAATGTCAACCGAAGGGGAGCCTCATGCGGCATCAGTCGAATAGGAGACTGGCGGAAACGGTCCGCACCCTTACAAATCTCCAGCACTCGGATCACATGATCTGGGCAGGCTTCCTGAGTACGATCAAACAGGGGACCCTTTTCTAAGACAAGAGTGCCAACTCTGGGAGCAATATCCTTGGCGTCAGTCAGAATTGTGGGGTCTTGGAAAAATGGTATGTCATCGGATTTCACGGAAGGCTTCTGCACCTGTTGTGGTCCTGACAAAACTTGTTCAACTGCAGGAGGGTATCCCGGAGGGTCCGAGACCTTACCACTCAGGCGGCGGGGTTTGACTTCTGGCTCAGACTGGTCATCTAGCGAACCAAAGACAGGTATACTTCTGGCCACTGATTTTTCTTGAATCTGGAGACTAGCTTTGATGGTTCGGGCAATTCGAATGCAAAAAGTCCTAGTGTACAGTTCTGAGAATTCTGACACATTTCTTCGAGAGCCATCCTTCCAAACAAAGGATCCAGCAACTTGATCATGCTCATGTTGATGATTGCATCGGAGGGTTTCCACATATCTGGCCAGTATGCTTGAGGTGGTAAGGATTTGAGTACCCTTCTGGAGCAGCTTGAGACTGATCGGGTGTGCCAATTTGCCTGCAGTGCACATATCACAACGGACTCGAAGAGAAGCATCTATGATGTTCTGCAAACATTCTTGAAACAACATGTCAGAACCTACCGGTTGCTCAAGGTGAAAATGATACTCTGGTCCGCATGATTGTTGCCATTGGAACACAGCAGCACACAGCAACAGATGAACTAAGTCATCTTCACGAGACTGCATCACTCGGCGAGCGGCTTCTTGGGATCTACAGGCATTGAATTGATTCCATCTGCACCAGGCTTTACATCGGGGTGACATCCAAATGTGCTTTGGTTGAAAAGTGATGATTGCATGATACAGCTTTTGACGACCCTCAAACGTTCCTAGATCCCCTTCTCGAAGTCCAAACCTGATTGATCGCAGCCCTTGATGTTGACACTGTCGAGTAAGTTCACTCTCAGAGGAACAGTAGATCTCAAGAACATCTATCTTTGATGAAGAACGTCGAACAGACGAACCATGTCGAACTGCGTACTGTCTCAATTCATCATGAACCCAGTTGGACACATGATCTTCCTGCTTCACCTGAGTATTCTTGTTGAGACTATGTTGTTCCATGAAAGCGTTCAGTTCTTGAATGCCGCGTTCAATCATCAAGTTCTGAGCAGGATCCATCAGTCGGACGGATTTTTCGGAGCCGGAGGATGCAATTGTTGCATCTGAGCCACTACCTGCCAGAGAACGTGCTCTAATTGATTCAAGCGCTGGCTCACCTGCTCGTCGATGTTCTGACTTCCTCGGAGTGAAACTGCATCCCAGGATTCCTCTTCTTCCTCTTCCACATCGATCGTCATGGGACGTTCGGAAGACTTCCCATGTCCCCCTCCACTCTTGGCCTTGGCTTTGGGCTTGCTTGTCATGAGAGCTGGAGTGGATTTTTGACCCACATTCTGTTCCAGTTCTTGACGTTCTGTCCACAACTCCAGGAACCGAAGAAATTCTCTGTGCTCCAGCTTCTGACTGTTGCCGTACTGGCGGAGAAACCACGTGCAGTACTTCGGATCTTCTTTCACCACTGTCAGAAAACTCTGGCCGGTCTTGGCTGATCCGAACCTGATGGGCATCTCCTTGAGCTGGTCGTAGCTGAGTTTCTGCAAGTCCAGGTCCTGGGTCTCCTTGGACTGGGAAATCTGCATGGCTGCAAAGCGCTCGGCAAGGCTGGACATGGCTATGAGACACTCTAGAGGTCACTGTGCACGTCTCGACAGTCTCGATGGGATCTTGAGATTGCTGCTTCGGATCAGGAATGGGTTGCTTGGCAACACGGCTGAAAACTGGTGGGTCATCTTTCCTGTCGGCTAGCATACCTTCATGAGATTCTATCATTGCATCTGGGGACCCCTTTTCAGGCTTTTCAGGCAATCGTTTGGGACATGTTCCGGCTGAGACTGAACCTCTTGGATTTCCACCAGTCCTTGCTCGCAGTGGTTCTGATATAGATCCCATGCGCGCAGCGATTTTTATCAATATTGTAGCCTTATTGTTTTTTTTTAAAAAATCGTTATCCTGAAATCATACCTGTGGCATGTCTTCCAATGTTACCTCGCCGTGTTCTAATGAAAAGAAAAAGATTCACATGGTTTTCAATCTTTGAGAAGTATTTGCTGCGATGGTGTGATGTTTTGGTTCTTGTGTAAATTTAGAATCCTTTGGCTTAAGAGTTTTAGCTGATCAATGCAAGAGCAAAATACATTCGATATGAAATTGAAACTGGACGACAAAAGTTGCCGCCGAATTGTCTGCATTTGATGAATGAACTTTTCGGAATTAGAATTTCCTTCTTTGTGAGCCCATACAGAGCCATGGCGTTTCTGTTTTTGTCTCCTCGCAGTGGCCGGGCGAGGGTCAATGCTGTTTCGAGAAGCGGGGATCCAATGACCCGCAAATTTTTTCTACCCGAAGAACCTTGGGTTGTTGCTCTTGCTCGCAAGCATGGCTTGCAGCATGTTTTGGAGGATCAGCGGGAACGCAAGCGCTTGACAGGTTGCAGCGGAGACAAATGTGGTGCCAATAAAGAATTTTCAGGGATTTCTCAAATCCTGTGCCTAGTCTCCGTATCGCCTGGAAACTTGCACATGGAATTTTGACGGATTGGACAGCGGAGGAAGAATATTTCCGCAAAGGCTTGTTTGAAGCGCTTGAGAAATCATCATCGCATTCAACTTTGTCGTTGTATGTCAATAAGCTTCTTGCTTTTCCAAAGCCCATTTTGTCCCATTCCCCTCAAAGGTTTCATGCTGATTTGTGGGAGCCAGAGAAATTTGATTTGGAACAAATTATCATGTGGAGCGGGAAGACCCGCGAGGAGCTGGAAGCTCATTTCGGAAAACCATCTCAGGACATCAGCGACTTTTTGAAAAAACCTGCGGCTCTTCGGGTGCCAGTATTGGTGTGTCATTTGATTGCAAAATGCGCATGGAAAGCACTCATTTTGGATGGGTGTCATTTTGGGAAAAGAGGTGCGCAACAGTCCATCCATGTCGGGCTTCAGGAAAGATTGGGCGGGTTTCCTCCATCCCAGTGGGTCAAAGAGGCTCTAGCAAGTGAAAAGCGGAAACGCACACCAGAGGATGCCATGGAGCTGAGATTTCGGCCTATTGACGCCCAGCAAGTTGTAAGTTTATTGCGATCTTGGAGTGGCCAAATTCTGTCGCAAGCAGCAGATGAGACACGCCAAGAGCTGCAGCTGATGTTGGAGGAGAAGGTGATGCGGCTAGATACCTTTGCTGGAAACAACAAACGCCCAACTAGATCAGAATTTGGTCCAGAACAATTGCTGCATGCGCTGTGCGCTGCCATGGGTGTCCGAGACAGGTCTAAATTAGCGGATACTTTCCGCCACCTTTTGAAATGTCGAAGCCAGCAGAGTATGTTGCCTGGTGATGGCGATGACCCAGGAATACCGTCCTCTGCGGTGATCAGCCGCTCACAAATTCGTATTGATGGTGCGCTGTGTGGGTACTGGAAGGAAAAAATAACATCCTGGATGGAGAACACAAATGCGGCCCTTGTGCATGGACCTAGTCCTTCTCAGGTCTGTTTTTTTTTTGTGGGCGGATTCTTCTCCGCAAGCAGGAACAGATTGGCTGCTGAGCCAACTGCGGATCATTCCGCCAGGCAAGCTCCCTCTGTGCGTGGCTGCTGCTCAAATGCTACAGAACTCTGCTCGTGCCCTTGTTTCAATGGCGCAGGAGCAATCGTCAGAATTAGACACTGTGGCAGGGAATCATAGTGGCAAAGAAGATGCACTGAAAGATTCATTCCATCATTTGGTACAGGAGAGGCACGAAGCGGGCGTCGCCTTGCAAGACACAATGATAAAGCATTCCCAAATACCAATCGGCTTAAGAAGTGGTCCTCAAGCGTCTAGCCTGGAACAAAAATTGATTTGCATATGCAAGAAATTTTTCGCGGAAACGCATAGCAAGAATTTGGCCCAGCGGGTGATGCACCGCGTGCTAGGCATATGCACAGACATGGGGACGGAAATGGGCTTCGCCCAGCTGGAAGAAGGCTTTGCATGGAAACAGGTCTTGCCAGAGTACATGCAGGACAGTGGCTTGCAAACAGAAGAAGATGTGCTGGCACAATGTTTTGCCGACCAGGCAGGCACAGAGAGCAATTTTCTCTTTGGAAACGCGCTCCCTTGTCCAGGAATGCTGCACATATGTCACAATATGTGTTTGGATTTGCAATCAGGCCTTCCAGGCTATGGGCAATGGTTGGTTGGTTTCAAAGCCATTGCAGCTTTACTCCATAGCAAGCATTTGCGCAACCAATACATCGAAGCCTCTTAGAGGTAGCAGTTGAAAAACCCGCCCTTTGGAGATGGCATCCGCCATACAAATCTGAAGCTTGGTGGCTCTACACTTCCATGCTGCTGGCGCTGAATCGATTTCCAGCGGATTTGGCCGCCTGGTCCGAGGGCTGCTCCTGTCACCCGTGGCTACAGTACAAAAGCACACGACCATCAAAGTCAAAACCACCAAGACATGACCCCGACAAGAACATTGAGATACAGGCTGGGGAAATCTTGGACGCACTTCGAAGAGAGATTGGTTTGAAAGCTGGCTCGGGGGACGGCGGCATGAGTTTTGGTCCATGCCCTTTAGCTGGACAAAGGTCCATGGATCTGGCCAGTGGGGCGGTGTGGAAGCTGTTGGACGCATGGTCAGAGGAGTATATTCAGGATTTATTGCAAAATAATGAATGTAGAGATGAAGCGGAAGTTAGTTCCGCTTTGACGGAATTTTCAAATGGGAAGGCGTTCATTGTTGCTTACCTGCGGCAGAAATTGCAATGCTGGGAAACCTTTCCCTGGAAATTGGCCGCATTGAATTGCACAGGCCCAATAGCTCGGCAAACCGCTCAAGATGCCATCCTTCATTTTGACCAATTGGCAGACAAGGTGGCAAACCAAGCAGCTGACTTGCATGTCCTGCACCACAGATTGACAATGAAGTTTTTCATGAAAGAGACACAGGGGAGACAAGAGTTAGAAGCCTTTATCCATGGCACGCCTTTGGGCGACCTTCCAAATTTGCGTGACATGGTCTACGGCTTACGGTTTCTTCCTGTCGTGGAACGCGTTCAAGAAGCGGAGCACGCAATCACGAAAAAACATACTGTGCACCGAGGAAAACTGTCTGCCCCATTCATTAGCTGCAGGCTCCGCATTGCAGAGATCCGGTCGATTCTTGAGGATTCAGCAGAGCTTCCGAGGTTGTTGGCTCAGTTCGAAGCATTTGCCACTTCTCCAGATCTCTTTGCCAAAAAAAGCGGGCTAGGGAATCATGTCCTGTGGCAGGAAGCGGAAAGCCGCAAATTCGAGGTGAGACTGAAGTGGCATGTCCTCGCATCAATTCTATATTCCATGGATCCAGAATCTCAATATACAAAGACCAAAGCAATTCGCAAAGACAGACAGACCAAGAAAGCAAAAAAGGAGCAGCGGGTGAAAGCCGCAATGAAGAAGCTTGGCTGGACACCGGGGAATCAGACATGGTCGCTCGATAACATGGAGCGGCACGCAATGGCACATCATTTGCAAAGCAGGCTCATCCGGGGAAGCTTATATAGTTTGTCACACGTAGCTTTGCGCATCAGTGGTTTGAAGGAGTCTCTCGAGCGGCGCCCTAGCTTTGGGCAAGCTTCTGGCCAGCTTCCGCTTCCGCCCGCCGGGGCCAGTGCCGGTGCAGTGCAGAACCCGGCAGCATTGGTATTGGAAGCAGAGCCTGACATCATGATGCTATCTGCAAATACTGTGCACACAGATGCGGAAGCACTTCAATCTATTGTTGCTCCCCCACCTCCGATTGATCACGGCTTCACACTCGAGAATGTTGTGTTTCTGCGGCTTGTGCATAGCCGCATTGCTCATCTGAAAGGCGTTGCTTTGCCAGCGGCGGAAGCCCAGCGGCTGCAACCAACCGACATTTGCGTCACGCTCCATAGAGGCGCGGTGTTGACATCTGAGGGCGGCGAACGCCGTTTGTGTGTCAGTGTGGACCCTGAAGCTGCTTGTGGCCTTTCGCACGAAGTCAGCGTGCTGTCTCTTTGTTCAGGGTCTTTTGCGGACGGACAGCCTGCCCAAGATTTGAACGGTTTGAAGGAGTCTATGAGACATTGGAGCCATGATTCGGAGCTGCTTTTTGTTTTGGAAAACGCGGACATTTCCGCAGAGGCTTCTGCGTTGCTAAAAGCATTTGTTCTTCAACACGCTTTCCCGCAGTGCTCGCAGCAGCAATGCGTGCAAGTGGAAGACATGGACGACGAAAAACAACGAGCCTTGTGGGAATTGCAGGCCGCAAAAGCGATTGAAAAACGGGCAAGGACTCCTCACGCATCTCTTTGGTCTTTGACCCGCCAAGGTGCCCTCCATTTGCAACATATGCACGCATTGAAAAAGCAGCAGAGAGTATTTAAGCCAGCGGATGAGCTTGCCGCATTGCCACTGCAAGACTTACAGGAATGTAGCAGCTGGGAATTGTTGCAAATATTGCAACACAGGGGTTGGAATTTGCAGCGGGGACCAAAAGAAAAGGGCAAGAAGAGGTCTTTACCGCCGGTGACTGCAAAGTCCATGCACAAGGTCTTCTATATGTATACAGTACATATTCAGAGCAAAGACAACGTAGCTTATCTGAACGCTTTGTGCGCTTCTGAT